TCAGACTGAACGGTAGAGATAGCCTAAGCCTGAACAGATTGATGGAGACTCCAGTCTCCCCAGATTTATGCTGAACTGAGTGATCCTGAGAGAGGGCCAAGAGTAGGTTCTTTAGATTTGGTCTTTGCATAGTGCCTTAAATATCCTGCATGTTCCATTTGTGTGATTTAAAAAAAGTTATTATTCCCTTTGAGTAATTCATTTCTCTACCCTTTCTTCAAACCCCTAAACTCTGTCCCCTATATGATCAATTTTGTTGGCAAGGCTTTCCACTGAGCTTCTTATTTGATTTATTGACTTCTTTCATTTCCAGTGAATTCTTTGATTTCAGTTTGGGTTTTCTTTAGAATTCCTACCTATTCATTGAATTCTACTTCCATATCCTAAATTGTCTTCTGCATTTTATTTAGCAGTTTGTTCTTTTTCCACCCTTCAAATGCTTTATTCCCATTGTCTTTGAGTTCATTCAGATGTTATCTGTGTCTTATTTGAATATTTTGGAACATGTTTATAATAGTTTTTTGAACTCTTTGTCTTGCATTTTTTCTTTTGTTTCATTTCCTATGTTGTTCTCATTAGGGATGATTATTATGGGGTTGGCAATTCTTGTGGGGGACAGATTGTCTTAGATTCTTGTATTGCTTATGTTATTCCAGTGAGACTTGGGCATCTGAAGTTAGATTAAAGGGTGATCACCTGCATGACTGAATAATGTTGACCCTAAAAGCTGGGGATTCTTCAACAAAAATTCTAGTGGTAGGTATAGAATACTTCCCTGTGAGTTGTTGGCCATTGCCTTCTTAGTTAGAGTTTCTATCGATGTAACAAAATGTCATGACCAAAAGCAACTTGGGGAGGAAAGGGGTTTATTTCACCTTACAGATTGTAAGCCCATCACTTAGGGAAGTGAGCACAGGAACCTAGAGCAACAAACAGGAGGCAGTAACTGAAGCAGAAGCCATGGAGGAGTGCTCCTAATTGTTTTGATCCTCATAGCATCCTCAGTCTTTTCTATCATACTATCTAGAACCACATACCCAAGGATGGCACTGCTCCCAATGATCTGGGTCCACTAAGAACAATCATTAATCAACAGAGCTTCCTATAAGAAAATATGATTGGGGAATTGTCTCAGTTGAGATCCTCTCTTCCAAAATGGCTCTAATTTGTGTCAAGATGACAAAAAACAACAAAAAATCAAACCAAACCAAACCAAAAATAACCAGGACAGCCATGGAGGCCTCAGAATAATGGAAAACCAAAACAACATAAGCCATTCTTCTTGGATGGCCACCAGAACTAGTTGATAAGACACTATTGCTAAAGGTCTCACACAATATACAGAGAATTTTAACTGTAACTGAGCTGGCATCCTCTTCCCTCATGGTCAGCTTTCACAGTACTGCAAGGTGCAAGGCAAGCTACTGGGGGAGTTAAAAGACTTTGTCATAGTTAGCTTCAATTGTCAACTTGACATTCCTGGGAAGAGGGAACTTCAGTTGAGTTTTCCCCATAAGATTAGTGTATGGCCACATTCATGGGGCATTTTCTTGATTGGTAGTTGATGTGTGAGTGCTCAGGCCATGGTGGGTGACACTATCCATAGGCAGGTGGTCCTGGGCTGTATAAGAGAGGTAACTGAGCAAGTTCAGGAAAGCAAGGCAGTAAGCAATACTTCTCCATGATCTCTGCTTCAGTTCCTGCCTCCAGGTTCCTGCTGAATTCCTGTCCTCATGTCCCTCAATGATGGATTATAATCTGTAAGACAAAAGAAGCTCTTTCTAATCAAGTTGCTTTGGTCATGGTGTTTACATAGTAACAGGAAAGCAAATAAGGACAAGCATTGATGGCTTTACCTAACTGAGAACTCTACAGGCTATGGTATCAACTGCCAGGAGATATGGATCTACGGGTATAATAGTGGTATGGCTGTGATGTGGGCAACCACTCTATGATTAGTTTTGAGGCCCACTCTACAAAAGAGAATCCATGTCTGGGATGTTAAAAACCCATGGCTAGGATGGTCTGAGGCTGTAGGGAGAGCTTACTAGTGTTGTTAACCTAAGTTGACACAGAACCATACTGCTTTCTAAATGTTTTTTTACACTCATAAGACAGATGCTACTGTTGGTTTTGACTGGGGGGAAACTTTTATGAAAGGTGATGAATAAAGAGACTCATGACTGCTCAAGATACTAACAATAAATGATGGTTATGTGTTCAGCGCCAAGGAGGATATTCAAATTACCACCTCCGAGAATCAGAGAACAGCTCAGAAGAGGAGGTGGTAAGAATATAAGAACTGCAAGATAGAACTACAGAGCTATGAAATGGTATCTTCTGGCCATGACACTGATAATGGAATCACAACCTCACAGTAGCAGTGGTTGCTTACAGTAGCCCAGTTAATAGTCAATCATAGATAGGGGGTATGTGTCCCAAATGGCTCTGCTCCTCCCTGCTGAACAATCGGTTACTGATGGATCCTGGGGATAGGGCAGATATTATCTTTAGTTGTGTACTCACTGATGAGTTCACCATGCCCCTAACAAAAAGTTCAAACCTGTGGTTTCACAGATGGCTCTGATTAAACAGTGGGTTACAAAACAAAATAAAAAGACATGGTGTAGAAAGAGGACTTGTAGGCTGGAGGCAGGAGATTAAAAAGAATAGACTCTGTGGGAAGGGCATGGAGGCTTAGGAGCAGATATGCAGCTGGGGGAGGCGGTTCTGTGGTACATACTACCACCCTATACCTCCAGATAGGGACTCCAGCCCCCATGCTCTAGCAAAAGAGCAGTTTGGGGCCTTCTCATGATCATCCTCTCAACTGTCCACATTGCTACTCCTTCTATACAGCTTTGCTTGGGTTGAGGGATGTCTCCCTGAGGGCATTCCAAGGGCAAGACCCTATGTCCTGCCGGGGTCACCGTCCATGGAGAAGCTCTCTGGAGTTCAGGCTCACCCTGCTTTTCACCCTTGCCAGGGCCCACAAATCCCCACCCCTCACTCTCTCTCCTGTCCCTTGCTCCCAAACAACAACCATTTCTGAGCATAAGACACAGCAAAGGTGACCCAAGAAGGTTGTGAGCATAAGCAATTGTTCTGGTCTCAGGCTGGCAGGCTGGGCTGACCACTAAAAGGCTGTGAGAGCGGAGTCCATTTCTATGTCCCTCCTCTGTCCTCACCTACCCACTCCGTCCTCCCACTGCTTAGGCAAAGGGACCTGCCCTTGAGGCTAACCCGTGGTCGCTTTACAAGCCCACCAGGGTTCCTAAGCCTCTGAATCTCTGCACATGAGCACATACTGCTCTCCCTCCATCTGTCCTCCCTTTCTTAGCAAGGGCCACTCTCATTCAAAGCCACCTCGAGACTTGCATGAAGCATTCCCAGAAGATCCTGGGGATGCAGCTTAGCCCTTTTGAGATACATTCGTCTGTGACTAGTTTTCTATGCCCACTGGGACAATCCCACTTCTTGTGAGCTTGGTAGGAAGGGGGTAAGGGGGGGTGTTGTACACCCATCTTGTTGTGAGTAGAACAGAGGGCAGAGTGGGGGTGACTGAGGAAGACTGAATCAGTATCTTTCTGCCCTTTGATGACAGAAATGGACCACGGATGGGGAACAGTGTTGGCTACAGAAATACAGCCAGAGGTGAGGATATACTGTTGTTATTTAATTCATGGTAGAGAGTGTCCCCTCTCCCCCCCCCCCCCCCCCTCCCCCCCCCACCCCACACACACCAACACCCCACACACACACACACACACACACACACACACACACACACACACACACACATGCGCATGCGGGCGTGCATGCCCAGGCTAGCTTCAAATTCACTAGGTAGCTGAAGATGAGACTGAGTGCTTGATTCTACTGTTTTCAGTCTGAAGTGCAGAGAAGGAAGATGGATGTCTCTGTGCTTTG